TACTTCTTTATTTACTGTTCTGTGTTTAGGAAAAACAAGTTTAAGAACTTATTTCAAAATAGCAATAATCTATATACATATATATAATAATTGAAATTTGACTGTATTTTACAAAATATTAGTCTACTAAAACACAGCCAAGACAAGTTACTTTGTACAGACCAAAGGTCAGTTTTATGTTATTTGATACGGTAACATGAGTGCACGTGAGTCACATCATTGTAACTTCTGTATTGTTAGCCAGGTATGGGTGAAAGATCAATATAATAAAAATAATAAATATATATATAAATGTATAATGTTATGAAATTTAATCTATTTAGTCTAAACATTTATGTTTTCGTGTTATAATTTGTATTCATTCGAGAATGAAAGAGGCATAATTTATATTTCTTTCGTAATTTTTTTATAGTGGTTGCAAGATCGGTCAAATCTACCGAACCTGTACAGAGATTAATTACTGAAAATAAGATAAAATATAAAGTTATTTCTTAAGAAACGTTCGATAACTATTTCGACATTATAGAACTTGCATGTGAATTTTCAAAATTTTCTGATGCATCAAAGTATTTTTAATGAATATTACTTTGCATGATAGATGGGCAAGATGTGAAAAGAAAATAAAGATATGAGAAAAACATCACTTTATAAACCTTAAGACTTGATAAAAAATTTTGATATTTTGCATATGAAAGCACTGTATTGTTTACTGATAATCTGACAAATTTTATTAGCTTTGGCCTACTAATTTAAAAGTTATAGCATGAAAACTGTAACAAGCACAAAATGGTTATGAGGTCATCACATTGACCAACCCTGTATTGAAAGAGTTAACAGATAATGTTGTTTGTAGTTAAAATATTGTGAACTGGCTTTTTGAAGTTTTAATGCTAATGATGAAATTTGAAACAATTCCAAAATGTCCCTTACTAAAGATGTTTTCTTTTGGTATTACCATGTTTTCAATATTTATTAAAAAACCTAAAATTACCCTCATAGTTTATAATTACACACCTAGTATCAACACTAAGAAAGTTAGGTAACTTCACAAAGTGTATTTCTTTTCCTAAGTTTGTGGTTATACGAGGAATTTCTACTTCAATTCTTGTTTCAGGAACAGGTTCTTCAGGTTCTTCTTCTTCTTCTCTGTCCTGAAATTTTAAGTTTTTACCAATGAAATTAGGTTAATATCTGATAGTTTTACAACAATAAAACAATATTTAAAAATTAGACAATAAAGAACCTTTAAAATCAAAATAACTTTTTAATTCAATATTCAGACATTTATACTTATCATCTATATGTTGAAATGAATGCTTTTCATTAGATTAAGAAACTTTAGAGGAAAGGAGATATGAACAATGAAAAAAAAAAAAAATCCAGAGAACTTTTAGATTTAAAATAAGTTTTATATGACAAAGGGAAGCTATTAAATAAGTCATAAGTAGCAAAAATAAGTAGCCTCTAAACTTGAAATTATACTGAAAGTTCAAGTAAATGAAATTGGTCAAAAGTTGAGCATTTATTGGATTTAAGCATCTGCAAAGAAAGTAAAACAAGTCTTTTAATTGTATGTTGAATTTTTAGAGCTATCTGCTGTATCCACCGCAGGGAATCAAACCATAGATTTTAGTGTTGCAAGTCCATATATTTACTGCCATCCTATTGAGGGATAAGTTTTTAATCCTTCAAAAGTGAACATATGATTTTTCGATAATACATTTCAACACAATACTTAAGTGTGGTTAATTATGCATATCTCATCTTGTGAAAACAAAGTACCTCAATCATTGTTTCATTTCTTTCTTCTGCTTCATTCTCATTTTCTTTTTGTTTATTTGTTTCTCTTTCCTCTTCAGAGCTAATATCACCTACATCTTCACCAAACAGATCAGCAGCAGTTGCTAGAGAAAACAATTCAAAACCAGTGAAGGATTTTAGAAGTATTTATTTTCAGAAATGAGTTGACAAATAGAAACTACCACACTTTCTTAGATGCCCTGGTGCACCACTATCAATATTTTGTAGACACCCTGGTATACTGTTAGTAACTAAAAATATTTAGTAGCCACACTGGAGTAATACTCATAACTATCAACTTCTATTGGCCACACTGGTGTATTATTTCCAGCTATCAATCTTTTGTAATGACCATGATGTACCACATTTAGTAACTACACTGGTGTACAAAGGTAACTATCAATTTATATTAGCCACACTGGTTATTACTTTTAATTATCAATGTTTAGTAGCCATACTGATGTACTACTTGTAAATATTAATTCTTAGCAGCCACACTGGTGTACTACGTATGACAATCAATATTTAGCAGCCACACTGGTGTACAAAGGTAATTATCAATTTCTATTAGCCACATTGGTTATTACTTTTAATTATCAGTGTTTAGTAGCCATACTGATGTACTACTTGTAAATATTAATCTTTGGTAGCCTCAGTGATGTATCAAAGATTAAGTTTCCTACATCACACAGATCTAGACATTAATGATTCTGTACGTTATCAATGCTTATGCTTATGTTATTATAAGTATGCATTAAGTACCTACACAGAAATAGTCTTCTTAATTGTAGCTATAAGTATGCAGTTCTACAGTATTTTCTATTTTAATTACAATTATTGTGAAGTTAAACAAAGAATCTCCTTTAAGTCAGTATAAACCTATCTTATTTGAAATATTAACCTTTTTTTTTGGTTATGAGTTCACTTATCATCTATATACATAATAGTAAAATGTCTGTCTGTAAGACTTTGCATCTCCAGAATGATTAATTGTAGAAAAAAAATACATATATCACGATGCTTCTTTTCAAGAGTATGTTACAGGAAAATTATTCATTTTTGCAATTCCTATAAATTCATATCAATATGAACATTGATCCATCTGTCTTGGTATGTGCTGAACTATCAAAATTATTAAGAACAAATACATTTCTCTTCTGAGCAAACTTAAAGAAAAAAATGGGACTTCCTGCATTTACTAATTAAAAGAAATATTATGAAGAAAGGAACACGGATAGAAAAATGCATCAAGAAAGGAATATGTTTGAATTTATATTTATATCAAAAAGCAGTCACTTCAGTAGTGGTCTTTTCTTGTGCTCAGTAAAATGACAAGGAATAATGGCATCCAGCAGAAAAAATCCTCATAGATACTTAGCAAACCTGAGTGCTCTATTGTGCCAGATGCACCAATTCCCTTGAAACCCCAACATTTTTGCCAACAGTGCATTACAGTCAGTCTCCTTTGTTTAAAAACAAATGCAATGCAATTTTCCATACTGAAATAACACACGGAATGACAAAATATGGTTGTAAACAGTCCACTAGGCAATCATACTGCATATACTGCTTTGATCCAAGGGATTGGGTTGACTGCACTTTTTTATTTATTCCTCATTATTTTTAGGAAAATTACTATTGAATTGTTTCAATGGGCATCTGCTAGTTAATAAATAAAACACACAAATATAAACAATAAAATATATGAAAAATACAATGAACAAAATGATATATAAAAGAAAATACATTAATAAAAAAATAAAGAGCAAACTATAGAACATTAAAGAATAAATAAATCAATACAAAAACAACAGTGAACTAAAGAATGTATAAAAACCACAGACTCAAAAACAAGTTGCTAATGCATGTTTGGGTCTCTATTTTGAAGTACACATTTTAGTTTAAAAATATCCTCTTACAATCCATTAGTTTGTGAGCATTGTACTAATACACATAACACAAAATGACTGCATCATATATGCAAACATTTTTCATATTAACTTACTACCTTCACCTTATATACAAGTATTGGTTCCTTGGTTAGATACAAGACCTCAGAAACAATTGCATAAGATAAAAATATGTGCAGATAAAACACCTTATTTTGGATTATTGATGGAAAAAAATGATAAATGATATTGTTTGTAATATACAATTTTTACAGATCGTACTGAACTTACATAAGGACACAGAAACTAAAACATTAACTGGGCAAACAAAACAACATTGTAACTTCACATAAACATACCTTTTGGAGATTTTCCATCTTCTGACTGCTTATCTCTTTCTGCTTCACTTTGTCCGTCTTCATCACTCATAACACGTGCTTTTTTTCTGGGAATTTCATTTTCATCCTCAGAATCTTGTATAATTTGTATAAACATAATTAAACATATGGAAATGAAAAAATTATAAATTACTTTAGTTTTTCTATATGCATAGATTTTATATAAAAATGTTATTTATTAAATATCACACAACATATTTTAATTGATCATGAAAAATTTGGAAAACTCATATTCCTCATGTAAATATCTTGTTTACACTTTAATAATGTCACTGGAAAAGAAAGAGAATATGTATAATAAAACAAATAATAAAAAACTGCATATTTTGAAAACATACAGGACACAGTTCTCAATAAGCAACATAAATTTAAAGTATAAAATACCATCTTGTATGGTGCATATAATAACTAATTTAAAAACATCTACAGTTGTCATCCATTCAACTTAGTTTCATCATGAATACTCTGCCTAAACAATCTACCAAAGAATATCTATAAATAGGTTTTGTCAGACTCATCTTGAAATTGTGTACTTAATGAGCACTAGCCCTACACAGTGAGAATATCACTGTAAAAAACATTTTCCCGTGTAACTAATCAAAATGAACTCAATTACTGATTGTATAAAAATAATCTTACACACTCAGTCTTTTATCTACATTTGCAAGCTTTTCACAATTTTGTATTTGATCATTATTGGGATATAGTTTTTCACATTATCCAGAAACATTCTGGCATAATAATCAACCAATTTCCTGCAAAGCATACCTTTTGGAGATCCTCCATCTTCTGACTGCTTATCTCTTTCATCTTCTCTTTGCTCATCTTCATCACTCATATCATGTACTTTTTTTCTGGGAATTTGTTCCTCATCCTCTGAGCCTTCAACACATTATATTCACAAGTCCAATTAACATTAACAAACAATAGATGCAGATAATTGAAAATTTAATGACCAAGACTTACATATGTTTACATAAGCTTTGCTTACACATTTACTTAAAAACTGATACACAGTGTTTTACCAGGTTGTCTTTCAACTAAGCAGATGCACATTCTAAAGAGTTTACAATTTATACTCTGTTACTATATTTACTAATGTTATGCTTAGTAAAATTCATTAATGCAGTGACAACTCCTTTGTAGCACAAATTTGAAACTTGAGAATTTAACTTTTGGTGTTTCATACAATGTTCAAATACATGTTATCACTCAAAATGTGAGAAATAAAACTAACCTGCCTGAATGAATCCTGCTTTCCAAAAGCTATATTTACATATAACTAATTTTATATCCATATATAAAGATTTTCCATGGGCAGCTATTTTAATTTTGTGACTTCTGTTTGTTTGCATTTTAGCATTTTGTTTCAATCTTGATTAAATGCTGGAAATTAAAGCTGCTGAATAGGATTTACAATTATTAAAATACCCACTTCATGTTTACATTCAGGGAAACCATTCTTTCATTTCAGTATATGAAAGGATAGAAATTTCTATCAAACTAATGACAGGCAGTAATAATAATGAAATAGTTAAAATTTGTTTGGAGGGGGATTTCTACACACCACTCCTTAAGTACTGGTAAATAATAACTTTATATTAAATGATAAGTAGTTCATCATGGTTATAGGTATATGTACCAATGAGCATGACATCTGCATTATTCAGTAACATACATTTTCACAGAAATTTGAAAACCTTGAAACTTCCCAACATAAGTATATATATACACACACAGCTACAGACTCCAGTAATAAAAGTGGGAATATGACGCCTTCTTTCTAGATTTATTTTAAGATATAACTAATTTCTATGATGTTTTGACTAGGGGGTATGAAAAACTTGTAATCATTATTAACAATAAACAATATTACTGTATTAATGAAGCTATTATGACTGACTAAGAAAACTTTTATGTATTAAGAAACTAGAGGTGATCTCATTCATGATCAAACAGAGGCTATACTCTAAACGTAATCAAATAATTCTTCAAGTTAACTGTCTGAACACTGGTATAAGTCTTAATTTTTTATATATATATAATAATGGCAGAAATGTGTGAGATATTGGAAAATTATAAAACTAAATGAGCAAATACAGATTTTGTCCTTAAATATAGGATATATAAGTCACTTTTAATGTTTTGTTTTATATTAGGTCTATTCACTAGCTGGAAAATATTAAAACCAGAGAAGGTGATAAGAAATCTTGACCATTTTTACAATTTTTTTTAAGAGTTAGAATTCAATGAATACACCTTTCACAGGTATTATATAAATACACACTGATTAATCAAATATGAATTGGTAATAATTATTAACTCCTTAAATCCATACGTTTTTGCACATTCTGCTGAAATTATTTTCATGATGTCCTAATAATCATCATCATTCCTTGTAAGATTTCTGATCTATTTATAAAAGGTGGATAATAACATGGTTTAGTTTAGTTTTCAGCCAAACAAACATCAATGTTATCGGACACTGTCACTGTCCAATAGGTAAATCGGGATTTTCGCCCGGACACTAGCAGCACTAGCTCAGGTTTAAGGAGTTAATATTAAATTATTTTTATAAAAACTAAATTTGCTTTACCTAGAGAGTAGTAAGTGCTACAGAGTCAGACATGGACAGTTATGGAAAATACATTATAAAGGAAGAAATCTAAAACAATCACAAATAAATAACTGTTGGGTGTAAGTGAATTTGAAATCAGCATTCTATTTCAGATGGTGCTAATTCAAACTTTCTAAGTTTCCGATGACCAAAACATTTTTGAGGCTTCTTCTAATTCAGTTTTAAGTGCAACATTACTAAAAGAACTAATATACTTAGAAAAAAACAATAACGTGTAAAATTAACAATTTTTATGTTTTTACAAAATCATCTAAATATTTAAGTTGTTAAAAGAAAGTAATTGAAATGAGAGAAAATACAAAACATCTTATTCTTAGTTAATCCTAATAGCTTATGAACAATACAAGCACTAACACAGACAGAATAGAAAAAAGAAACTTTGAAAAGGAACAGACCATCAGAACCATTTAAACCACCACATGAAAACAGAACACAGGAAGTGGAAATTCGTGCCACGACAAGAAATTGTGCCACAATAGTGTGATATGATGGCCTGCAAAACAAATATTTTTTTTTTACTAAGGATTTATTAATCTAGACTTGTTAATAATAATAATACAAGCTTTTAGAATATTCAATCATTATTTTTATATATATTTAATGCACGCAACCTCCCTGTAAGTACAAACTGTACACAATATACTGTGTTCTACTAAGTTTTGAAAAAACATTAAGATATACATTAATAAAGGTATAAGATGCTATATGCATTAAACAAGACATTTGTTGCCTTTTGTTTGATTTTTTGTTTCTTTACTATCCTTCCTTATTCAAAGGTTAGTATAAGGTACTTTAGCCTCTTATATCACACTCTACTGTTGGAAACACAATAGAGCTTGAGCGATATTTTTTTAGTGTCCATATTGGTTGTTACAAACAATACAAATATAAGAGACTATTTATTTATTTCTTTTATAATGTATCCTATCTGTTTGGAACTAATACAACAACAAAACACAGTTCATCATATTGACTTCCACATGCATCTGTAACACAATGGCAATGTAACTTCCTATAAACTTACCTTAAAACAACAAAACACAGTTCACCATATTGACTTCCACACGCATCTGTAACACAATGGCAACGTAACTTCCTATAAACTTACCTTAAAACAACAAAACACAGTTCACCATATTGACTTCCACATGCATCTGTAACACAATGGCAATGTAACTTCCTATAAACTTACCTTTTGGAGATCTTCCATCTTCTGCTTGTTCCTCTCTTTCATTTTCACCTTCCTCATCTTCATCACTCATAGTGCGTACCTTTTTTCTTGGCATCTCATCCTCATCCTCTGAACCTATATATTGTGTTTTATAAATGTAATGAAATAGTGCAAACTTAAATTTTTGCACACAAAAATTAAAATCTCTCACGTTTCTATGAAAATTCATCATGCAATGTACACTAACAAAAGGAAGAAAAAATAAGGTAAGACAAAAGACTTCTACAAGTTATAAACAGAAAATGTTAAAATGCTGCTCAGCCACAAACATTTTGTGATAATTATACAAGTTACAACATTTATATATGTATACTAATAAATTAGGTACCAGCCAATTAGTGTTATATATTTCACATTTAACTAGACTGTAACTCATAAACTACTGTTTTCATAACACACTATGAAAGTGCTCTGCAATGGCTCTTTGGCACGTTACACCTTTAATCTAGGAGTGTTTACAACAACAACATGCTTCAGGGCTTTTATCATCAATAAAAATTTATTGGCATAGGGAGGCATCTTTTTTTAATTGTCTATACTTATGATAAAAAGAAAACTATCATCAGATTGATTATAATTTCTTTAAAAATAATTTTCAGATAAACTTCAGGAATGAAATTCACATTTATTTTATCCATAAAATACATTAGACCATTTGGGATATGTCTCAGGATACACGGAAATGTTCCCTCAAGTGCCATCCAAAAACTTGTTCAGAGTAATCTGTAATAGTATTGTAAGTGACACAGTAATTTCTCGTTGACTCTAACTGCCTTGTTTTGTCCAACATTACAACCTCATAAAAATATAGATCATTCCCTGGATCCCTTCACTTGTGGCACGAATATTTGTATTATGTGGTCTTTATTAAGCTGTATCTGTAATTATGAATTGTTTTTTTTGCATATGGAGAAAATAGATTTGTATTCTTAGGGATGTATACGATAACCCATACAACTATATAGAAGTTTAATAAAATATTATCTAATTCTAACAATACTTCAACTGGGTAGTTTGTTTCTAATGAATGATTATTTCAGATTGTTTTTCTGTTAATAATGATTACGCTTTTCCTGTTTGTTATACAATGCCAGTAACTTTACTGAACCAGTGGAAATAGTCGAACAATAACTGATCTGCTTAACTGAACTGGTACCAAATGAGCTAAAAAGATAATTTTTTCAGAGAAAAAAGTCAGTCTGAGATAGTAAATCTGTTTCAAAGATATTTTTTATTTTCTCTTATATATTAGATAATAGTTCTAGGGCTAAAAATATATCAAAATAAAAATAAGTATAAATATATACAAACATACGTAAACTATAAGTTCCTGGAAAGTCACATGTAAATTATTTTACAACCTACATGAAATCCTCAAATCTGAATTTACCTTTCTGTGAACCTGCTTCATCATCACTACTTATCATCTGTCTTTTTCTATTTGTCAATTCTCTAGATTCTTCTTCACTATCTGAAAATAAAATTCAAATTATTTAAACAAAATAATTTTATATAAACTAAGTTTTAGAAGTATACTGTTCTTAGTTGAGTACCAGGTGACAAACTAAGGGTTTGTGCAGAGGTGTTGACCCCTCATACAGATACTGTTCTTAGTTGAGTAACAGGTGACAAACTAAGGGTTTGTGCAGAGGTGTTGACCCCTCATACAGATACTGTTCTTAAGTCATTAAATTGAACAGCATTTACAGCTAATCAAAACATTATAAATTTTTTATAGAGAAAGTATTTTACTTCATATTAGCTATGTAACATGATTTCTAATGTCCTTATTATGTTCCAAAGCTGTGACTATAATCAGCTGTAGTTACCAATATACTTATTCATTACATATATACTGTACAAAGTAGTCCTGTTAAAGGTGTCTTGTAATGCATTTTCTTTACTAAAATACTTCTCAAAATGAAAATATCTCTCTCTTAGATTTCATTCTGCTTTAAAAATAAACCAGTTAGTAATATGGGATGGACAAGAAAGTCATTTTAAACATGTTCAGTCAAATGTGAGCACAAATGTGGTATTAAATATGTCCATTTAGGTTTGAAAAGTTACTGATGGTGATAACAAAATGACACATCATTTGTATGAATGGTACAGCACATAACTGGTTACATTTTAGCTCTGATAATTAGAAGTTACTTGCCTTATTATCAGCTTAAAATCCTGCAACATATTATGCCTACACTGTACACTGCTTGATAATCCTATATAAATCTACAAGATTCATCAAAAAGTTATTTTTAGATAAAGCTATGAAGTTAAATAGTTTTTTGTTGTCATTTTCTCTAAAACAGTATACAGTCCTATGAGTAAAAAAAATTCCTTTGCATATTTAGATGAAAGTCAGAAATAATAAAATGGAGAACACATTGTTACTTACTGCTTTCATAGATCTTGATGCTATTATTCATACAGAGGTCAGTGTAGCAGGTAGTTGTATAAATTTAATCTCATTGCTTTGTTCAGTTATAAGATGTTTTTTGTATAGCAGTAAACATTTTCACTACTAATTCTGCATGATAAAGCAATGCTACTAGTATTAATTGGATATCACAGTGATGAAATAAGCATGTTTAACAAGACTAAATTTATTAGTATTATGAGCATACTACACTAAATAGGATCTTAAATAGAGTTCTAAACATGTTTTATGAACTGGGTGAAATGCCCTTGGGTGATCACTTAAATTATTAGAAAGACAAAATACATTGTGGATTTGAAATCTGAGAATAATTTATTAACCAATGTTAACATTCTAGTCCGATAGTAACATAAAAAAGTAAAATAAAGTTAATATACCATTAATATATTCTGCAACATCAGGCAGGCAGGTAGTAGCACTGCCTATGTATGAATGACTTGGATTGTTCAGCAGAATGGTATTTTAAATATCTCCTTAACAGGTCATCAGAACTTATACTACTATAAGTTTCTTTTTATAGCAATATCTATGTAATGACTGAGTCACAAATTCTAGGAATGTCTGCAATATCATAGCAAGAAAGTTTGAATTTCTTGTTCTTCTCCTTCTTTTTGATTAAATGATAACTCAAAAATCAAAACAACAGTGCCAACTAATTACACTGATGTAACATAGTTTCAAAAAGAGTATCCACTTTTATAAGTATTATTAATAACTAGTAGTAATTAAAAAAATCATAATTATAATGTAAACGATGTTATCATTACTCTTTGAAACAGGAATTACCAGCCAATAAATATTACAGTTTGGAATCTCACTGTATATAGAACTTGGTTATAAATCAATATATATAACTATTCAATCACAATTGAATTTATCCTATTTTTGTCTGTTAACATTCTACTACACTGTGTGCCAGTGCTATTATGTAGGGATGATACAAATGCCATCTCTACTCTCTTGTTTGCATTGTTTTTGAAGGATTGATATTAGCAATCCCAACATTTACTTACTTTTAGAGAAGTTTTTCTTTACTTGTAAAACTTATTATAGCTTTACCTTATAAAGATTCAAGTTTAATAGGTAATAAGTAGTAATAAGTACTGAGTCTAATCAGATAAAATTAGTTTTATTGTGGTTATGACACTGTTGCCTAATTAAAGGCTCAAATCATTTCTATTGACTAATTTGTTCCTTGTTACTGAATTCCTATGCCTTTTGGACACACACATGAGACTGTTTTTAAAGATGACATTTGGAACATTTTTCATGTTGCATTAAGTAAAAAGTCTCTATACTTTTGATTGCAAACCGTGTAGGTATTATTAACCAGACCAATTAATGGGTTACATGCTGGACAACTTACCCACGAATATGTAAATCGATTTCTCATTTCTTTAACAGTTACATAACTGAGGTCTGCACAAATCTGAAACCATGTGATATCTACGAGCTCAACTACTGTTTATGTGAGTCTTGACAATACAGAATGTATGCTATGTACAAGTCCATAACACCCATCTTAAAATGTAAAAATGTATTTGATATTGGGGATTATTCTAAAGTCAGTAATAGCTAGAGATGGAAGATTAACTCAGTTGGTTAATATAACTATTACACCAATTAGTGTCGTGTAAAATAATCATTAGTCAAAATTAGTGTTTCTGGTTTTGATCATTTAAGCTATCCAAGTAACTGAAACACTGCTATTACAATTTCTTATTATATTTGATTAATTCAAGTTTGTTCAGTTTAATCTATTAGTGCCATGACTCACAAAAATAATCAACTAGTTGAAATATTGCCATTATGATTTTTCCTTATTATTATTATTTTTTATTAATACACATTTGCTCAGCTTCAGGCTGTCATGGTCTGATGATTACTGATTCAAAGTTTGCAGGTTCAATTGCTATTGCCAACAACCACACTCTCTCTTTCAGCCATGAAGCATTAACATAATAACAAAAGGATCTATTGGTCCATCTAGACTGTCCCATCCTCTAAACTAAACTAAAAAAAAAAACCACCACCTCAAAGCCAGCCCTTATCATTCATATAGTTATCTAGCTTTCTCCTAAACTCACTTAAATTTACTGAAGGCACCCCCCCCCAAAGACCAACCACCCTGTTAGAAAAGTAAAACTGCTTTAGCTGAAGATGACTCCTACCCTACCAAAATTTATATTTGTGTCCCCTTGTCTTACTGTTCTCACCGTTAAGTATGAAAAAAGTTGATGCATCAACACTACCAATTCCCTTAACAAACTTAAACACCTCAATCAGATCCCCCTCTAAATCTCTAAAACTATTTCAGAGATCTTAACCTCTCCATCCAAGGTACCATTCTAGTACCCCTCTTCTAAGCTCTTTTCAACAATTTAATGTCCCTCCTAAGGATTGAACACAATACTCCAAATGTGGCCTAACTAGTGACACATATACTGAAATTATAACCTTTTAGACTTGTAATCAATATTTCTGTAGATACAACCTAAAATCCTATTTGCCCAACAACAAGCAACAGCATGCTTGTTGAATGGCTTAAGAGACTGATCAACCATTATATCAAGATTCCTTTCTTTTATGACACTGTAAAGGTTATTCCCATCCAAATTATACTTATGATTCAAATTATAATAACCCACATGCATTATCTTGCTTTTATTATAACTAAAACCCATCTGCCATTTATTCACTCAACTCACTAAATGATCTAAGTCTTTTTGTAAAACAGCAGCATTCTCTTCACAGCCAGCAACACAAAAAGACCTTAATATCATCTGCAAATTGAAGTAATTTACTGACCATTCCTTCATCTATGTCACTGATGTAAATCAAAAAGAGCAACACTGAGCCCTCAAATACCACACTTGTAACATTAATCCAGTTTGACTGAACTATTAGGTCGTCAAGAAATTAATGTCGTGCTTTGGAACACTTTCATTACCCCCCCCCAAATGGACATCATGCGTAATAGTAAAACAAACCACCTAAACATCATGTTAGTGTAGCCTATATAATGTGTAAAGTTTATTATACTTTAATCCCTTATAGTGATAGCATATGATGAGACACACATTCGGCATGTAATGTTGTTTGAATACAAGAAGGGAAACAATGCCTCTGTAGCCACAAAGAAGTTTATGGAAATGTTTTGATTGTTTGTAAGTGTCAACGATGGCTCAGAAATTTTCGTTCAGGTGACTTTAGCCTTAAAAACTGTGACGGCAGGGGGG